ACGCCAGGCAAGCACTCTACCACTGAGCTACATCCCCAGCCCCTGTGTTATACTGTTGAGGGAATAATGCCAAGAAAGAAAACTCTGTATATGTTGAGTATAGAGGCAACTATTGTAGGCCTAGATGCATAGTACAGGATCAGTGTTTACTTGAATTCAAGGATGTGCAGATGCAGAGGGAGGGTGGATTATACAGCAACTGCTTAAAGAAGTGGTTATGGTGAGTGGGAGGCCAATAAAGTACAACATTGTTCAAGAGGCAGTATGGCAAGTGTGTGCTGATCAAGGACAAAAATCAGGGGAGCAGGGGTAGACCAGATGACTTGGATTTTATTCTAATTGCAGTGGAAAGCCTTCAGAAGTTTTTAAGCTGGGCATAATATAATCAGATTTAGGCTGTGTGTGGATCATTTTGGTGGGTGAAGAAGGGAGACCAGCTGGGATCCAGGTCAAAAGTGGCAGGGGCTGGAGGGAGAGAAGGTAGGAAGTGATCCTGTTACTGGAGTTCTAGGCCAGAGTTCTGATTTTAGGGATCAACCAGTCAGGCCCACCACTCACTCCCAAAGCCAAACAGAAAAGTAATGGTGAAAAGCATGAAAATAATTTTTTTGGGGGGTACCAGGGATTGAACTCAGAGGCACTCTACCACTGAGCCACATCCGCAGATCTATTTTGTATTTTTTTTAGAGATAGGTTCTCATTGAGTTGCTTAGTGCCTTGCCATTGCTGAGGAACACTTTGAGCTTTCAATCCTCCTGCCTCAGCCTCCCAAGCCTCTGGGATTATAAGCATGCACCACCACACCTGGCCATGTAAAGAACTTTAATTGGTGTAGCTACATTGGGAAGACAAGGGGATCCACATTCTTAGCCCTTTCTTCAAGGAGCTGACAATGACTTTGAATCTTTATACTAAGGGGGATGTGGGCAAGGATTGGGGTTTTTCATAGCTGGAGGCTTTTCACAGCAGCCAAAGCAGGTATGGTATGATCCATCTGGATCTCAGGCTTGGTCAGGTGGACCTTGTGGGTGAATAGAACATTGTTGTGGCCCGTGGTTATGGGCAGCTTTGATTCTTCATAAGACATTTATCAATCAGACCTTTTGCTCCTGGAAATATAAAGTCACTCAGAGCAAAGGAAACAGGTGCAATATGGAGACAGAGATGCCAAGTCTTTAATCCTTCTTTTAGTCACCCATTGGACATTTATTGCAAAAGTGAAGAGTCTAAGATATTTTTTTCATAATCTGATTTGTGGCATAATTTAGAGATTGTGGCAACAGGAGTTGCTTATGGACTAGATGTGGGAAGGCAGGAAAAATCAAGGGCAAACATAGGTTATGATCTCAGCAACAGGGGGGACAGTGATGCCTTTTCATGAGATGATGGAAGGCAATGGATCAGAGAGCAAGTTTGGGGAGGAAAAAAAACAAAGCAAAGTTTGAGATGTCTTTTGAATACCCATGTGGGCTAACACAGAGAAAGGATTTGGAACATGTTTGCTAAAAGTGGGAATTTGGAGCTGGGCATGGTGGTGCACACCTGTAATCCCAGCAACTCGGGAGGCTAAGGCAGGAGGATTGTAAATTCAAAGCCAGGCTCGGCAACTTAGCAAGGCCCTAATCAAGATCCTGCTTCAAATTTTAAAAATGGCTGGCTGGAGATATGGCTCAGTAGTTAAGCGCCCCTGGGTTCAGTTTTCCTGGTACCAAAAAAAAAAAAAAAAAAAAAAAAGAAAGTGTGGGAATTGGCTGATGGTCAGATAGATGTCTTCACATTATTTTTATTTCAAATTTCTCTGATCTTGTGGAAGTAATTTTCTTGGAGGGGATAGATGGATAGTCTATGCAGAAACAAATAATTTCAGACAGAGATAAATGCCATGAAAGGGCTCTGGGGTTTTGGCTCAGTGGTAAGGCACTTGTCTTGCATGTGTGAGGAACTGGGTTCAATCCTTAGCATCACATAAAAATAAATAAAATATTAAAAGTCATGAAGATAAAAAGAGCACCTGGGTAAATGCACACTCATAAAGTAACAGTGTACACCTATAATTCCAGTGACTTGAGAGACTGAGGCCAGAGGATCACAAGTTAGAGGCCAGTCTTAGAAACTTGGTGAGGCCCTGTTTCAAAACGAAAAATAAAAAGGACTGGGACTTGGCATGATGGCATACACCTGTAATCCCAGCAACTCAGGAGATTGAGGCAGGAGGATTGCAAGTTTGAGGCCAACCTCAGTAACTTAGTGAGGCCCTAATCAATATAGCCAGAGCCTGTCTCAAAATAAAAAATAACAAGAGTTGGGGATAAGAGCCCCTATGTTCAATCCCATGTACCAAAAACTAAACAAATAAACAAAAAAGACTGAGGCTGCAGCTCAGTGGTGGTAAAGTGCCCTCTACCCAATCCCCTGTAACAAAAGCAAAAAAAAAAAAAAAAAAAAAAAAAAAAAAAAAGAAGCAGTGTAGCTGTCTGCCAATGAAAAGTTCAGTAGGGCAGGAGTGGGGACTTCAAGGCAGGCCTATTCTCAAAGGAGGGCAGAGTAGCCAACAGTGATCAACCTAGGAATCTCTGTGGCCTTTGAAGGTCCCTTGGAATGCTGGGAGAGAATCTGAATTGAAGCTAGTGCTGTGCAGGAAAGAGGAGTAAGGGGGCACCCCAGCTGCCCCACCTAGGGGCAAGGCCTAATTCCTGGCAGCTTGCCCTGGGCCCTGCCCTTTCCTTGCTCCCCAGACCACTGGAGACAGCCCAGCTGTTCCATTTGCCTGCTGCTTCCCTCTGGCTGCCCACACCCCTTGAGCAAAACCATTTACCAAGCTCCTTCTCCCAATACTGCACTTGCAGATTCCTGTGGGTCTTTATCCATTCAGTCACTGTTTACTGAACACCTACTATGTGCTGAGGGCATTGGTGGGCACCACAGGACAGGGCACACCAGACACTGACCCATGGGAAATAGTTTAAGCAATCATAACAGTTTGTACAGATGGCTTGGTGGAGGTCAGTGAGTATTTAAGTGATAAAACAACGGTTCTGGGGCTATAAACAAGGCCCTGTCCTGCACCAGGAGCTCCTGGTCTAGTGGAGGAGGCTGTGACCTGTGTGCAGAGAGTGGGGATGCGTTTGGGGTCACTGGGAAATGTCCCAGAGCAAGTGACTCCTGAGCAGGGAAACTCAAGGGATGGAGTAAGATTTCACCAGCTAGAGAAGAAGGGGAGATGACTGCAGGCTGAAGTGTCAGGAGACAGGCGTGGCAGCAAAGTTGGAGGCGGTGTGGGGGATGCCTGCAGACAGGAATGTGGAGCATGCAGCAGGCCAGAGGGGGTTGTGCTCAGTTCAATCAAAAAGGGGAGGGGCTCTGGCTTTGCCAGATCAGAGGGTGCCCCCTTTCTGCTGAGCTCACAAACCCTAAGGTTTCTGTCCCCAGCTCTAGCCACTCTGTTCCTAGATGGGGTAGGAGGCTGGGAGAAGTGAACAAAGCCAGGACTTGAAACTCTAGCTACTACATCGTTCCACCTTCCAGGCCTGTTTCCTCTCCTATAAAATGAGAAGTAATAACAGTAATAGTTCCAAATGCCATTCATTGAGCCGTCACTCTTCACCAGGCACTCTTCCAAACGTCTTACAAGTACTGTTGCATCAAATCACAACGGCAACTCTGAGAGGTTGTTTTTGCCATCATTCTCATTTTCAGAAAAGAAAAAAGGTTGGGAAAGGTTCAGTAATTTGCCCAGGTCATACACATACCTGTCACATCAGTGATGGGATCCAAACCCAGGCAGTCTGGCTGCAGAGTCCAAGTTCTTCACCACTACATAGGCTTGGCTATGGCTGTCCTGTTCTGAGGGCTGCTGGTTCATCAACAAATATGTAAACCGAGCATGGTGGCACACGCCTGTAATCCTAGCACTTGGCAGGCTGAGGCAAGAAGATTGCAAGTTCAAAGACAGCCTCAGCAACTTGGCAAGGTCCTAAGCAACTTAGACTCTGTCTCAAAATAAAAAAGGGCTCAGTGGTTAAATGCTCCTGGACTCAGTCCTTGGTTCCCTCTGCCCCAAAAAATAATATATTAAGCGTCTGCTGTGTGCCAGTCACTGTGCTGGCTCTGGGTACACAGCAATAAGCAAGGCAGACCAGGTCCTTGCTGACACAAAAATGACATTCTGATGGACAAATAAACACATTAAAAAGTGAGGTGATTTTCAATTAAATAATTATCAGTCAACATAATAGAAATATAATATATAATATATATAATATATAATAGAAAGCAACTTTTATGATAGTAATAAGGGATTCACTGTGTGCCAATTTCTTTACATTTTTAAATTCAGTTTTCTATCAACCCATTGGGGTGGGCATTATTATTTAGCCCCCCCTTTTTTTTGTTAAAGAGAGAGAGAGAGAGAGAGAGAGAGAGAGAAAGAGAATTTTTTAATATTTATTTTTTAGTTTTAGGTGGACACAACATCTTTGTTTGTATGTGGTGCTGAGGATCGAACCCGGGCCGCACGCACGCTGGGCGAGCGCGCTACCGCTGAGCCACATCCCCAGCCCCTATTTAGCCCATTTTTTAAAAAAATATTTTTTTAGTTTTAGATGGACACAATACCTTTATTTATTTTTACATGGTGCTGAGGATCAAACCCAGGGCCTCACATGTGCAAGGCGCATGCTGTACCACTGAGCCATAACCCCAGCCCCAAGCCCATTTTATGATGAAGAAGGTTGGGTATAAATTAGTGCTGCTGGTCTTGGGACAAAGGCCAGGCACAGAGAGGCTGACTAACCTGCCTAAGGTCACACAGGGGAAGTAGAGTTGCTGGCAAAGGGGCGAGCAAGTGCAAAGGCAGGGAATAGTCACAGGAGACAAGTGTGTAGTTGTTTGAAACTATTGAGGTGTCCTCATGTGAGAGGTCTGTGTCCTTGGTACTCAGAGGGGCAGCAGAGACAGTGGGCAGATGTGGCTGGGTACATGACTGGTGTATTTATGCGTAGGAAGCTAATGGCCCTGCTGATGGCTACGCTGCAATTGCCCAAGTTGACAGGCTGACTCAGGAGCCCGASAGCATACGCAAATGGAGAGAGGAGCAGAAGAAACGGCTGCAAGAGCTAGGTAAAGGCAGGGTTGACTGGGAGCTGAGCTCTGGCTGCCTTGGTGCTGGAACATGGTGTGGGGGGGAAGTCATGGGATTGGTGGAGGCCCACACTGCTTTAATGTGGGATCTGGGTGAGGGTGGGCCCTGCCAGGGTCCAAGGGGAGGGGCAGCCTGGGCCGTAGGGCACTGGAAAGATGCCACTCGTTCTCTTGTTGGGTTCACAGATGCTGCCTCTAAGGTGACAGAACAGGAGTGGCGGGAGAAGGCCAAAAGGGACCTGGAAGAGTGGAACCAGCGCCAGAGTGAACAAGTTGAGAAGAACAAGATCAATAACAGGTGAGAGGAGCCTAGGAACATGGAGGAGTTCTCGGGATATAAGAGGAGCTATGGGCATATGAGGGGAGATATGGGGACACAAGGGGGGGCCAAAGAGACAGCGGAGAGCCGTGGGGAAATGAGAGGAACTACGGAAACATGAGCATGGGGATTGAGGTAAGCTGTGGGGACAGTGAGGGGAGCTGTATATGATGTCAGAGAGTCTTGAGATGGGTGATTTGGTGGCAAGAACATGCAGGAAGGAGGATGATGCACCCAGGGTGCTTCCTTGGTTGCCTGTGGAGTTGAGAATCCTTCAGAGCCCTCCCCACCTTTCCATGACAGAGAGGACACAGGTCTGTCAGTCAGCAGATCTCCAAGGGCCCTGGAGCCAGACTGTCCAGGGGCCAAGCTGCCAACTGCTAGCCCTGGGCCCTCCACATCCAGGGTTAGGTCAGAGCGCACAGGCCTGGCTGAGAGTGAAGAACCAACCTGGGTATAGGATTCTGACTGTTATAGCACTGCTCCCTAGAATGACTAAAGGATAAAAGGAAATTAGTGGCCTGTAATACTGAAAAGGCCAGTGGGAGGACTGTAGGCACAATATCATCCATGAAGTCAATGGGTACATACCTTTACTGTAGCTCAGCTCTGCTTTCCTCCATGTTGGGCACACAGCCCTCCAGTGGGGGGCAAAGATGGCCAGGTTCTAACCTGTTCTTTTGGCAATCTCCATGAGAAGAACATCAGGTGGCTAACAGCTTCAGCTGAGGTCTTTGACCTGACTCTCATTGGTCTCTTTTAGATCATGTGTCTGTGCCAGGCSCTGTGACTGTAGCCAAGAGGAGGGATACGCTTATGCCGTCCGGCATGGGTGAAAGTCCCATTCCTTGGGCTCTGCATTAGGGTCAGTTCCATACAAACCCCAGGGGCTGCTATTGGAATAGCCTGATCCCACAGAGGACAGACAGGCAAAGATAGCAGTTGTCCACCAAAGAACACCTGTGTGGAAATGGTCTCAGACTGGCTGCTGTCCATGAAGACTGCCTTTAAGGTTGTTCCCTTCAAGGTACAAGACCTTCCAGGAAGGGAAAGACACATTCGAGGAAGCTGCCACCTTGTGTTCAGAAAACTGCAGCATGCCAGGGTCCAGATGAGGAGGAGCTTCCGGCAGGAAGGGTGCCCTGTCCGTCCTCTGTGGGATCAGGCTGTTCCAACGGCAGCCCCTGTGGTTTGTATGGGACTGACCCTAATGCAGAGGTCAAGGAATGGGACTTTTACCCATGCCAGATGGCATAAGCGCATCCCTCCTCCTGGCTACAGTCACAGGGCCTGGCATAGACACAGGATCCAAAACAGACCAATGAGAGTCAGGTCAAAGACTTCAGCTGAAGCTGTTGGCCACCCGATGTCCTTCTCATGGACGTTGCCAAGAGAACAGGTTAGAAGCTGGTCTATGTCCTCAGAGAGCTCAGAGGAGAGAACCATGCAGGAACAGCTGAACTTGAATACCATGAGGCCCTCCGCCCAAAAGTCATACAAGGGAAGCCAGGAACAGGCTGGGGAAGAATTCTTGTGTCTGGAGACTTGGGCTCTGGAGGACAACTAAGAGTTCATCAGGAATAAAAGGGCAGGGTGTAGGGAAGGGGATTCTACACCTGGGAACAGCCTGGCAGGAAAGAAAAGATGAGGCATGTTGGGTCACAGGGGGTCAGGGAGTGTTGGAAAAGATGGCAAGTGGACAGATGGGGGAGTCCCACTGGGAGGGCTTTGGGCACAGATGTGGGCAATGGGGAGTCACTGAAGGTTTTTGAACAGGAGAGTAATATGATCAGGCTGAGCTTCAGAAAAAGCACCGTGGCCAGGGTGGAGGATCCCCTCTAGGGTTATGCTGCGCCTTCAAACTGTGCTTCCTAATACACTTCCCACGGGAGGTACTAATGCTCTCTCTTTCTCTTTAACCCTCTACCTGCCTGTCTGGCCTTCTCCACCTAACATCTTCTCCTAACATTTCCCTCAAGGATCGCTGACAAAGCATTCTACCAGCAGCCAGATGCTGATATCATCGGCTATGTGTACGTGTCTCCTTTGCTTCTCTGCTGGGAGGGATCTTGAGAGGGACCCAGGTGGGCGTGTGGCTGGCACAAGACTTCTGGAGTCTTTTGCTTGTGGGATATAAATCAATGTGGTTGGGCTTAGGGCAATGATCAGAGCAGGAAGCTAACCCTCACTTCGGTCTCTCCAGCAAACTGGAGGTTGCTTTGCCAAATCAGAGAGCCCTATAGGGGAGGGCAGAGAAAAGAATGTGCCATGTAGGAGGGGCAAAGGGCAAAGCAGCCCTGGTTTCTTCTCTCTGAGATGCCTCTTGGGGTGGGTAGGTGGGTGGGTTGAAGGGGTCTTTGTTGAACAAAACAAACACAAGGTACTGAAGGCAAAAGAATAAGAGATGCTTTTATGTATATACCCATCCCTGCCCTCTACCCCCAATGCAGTGACTTTGGTCATGAGCCCCACCCACACCACCACGGTCCCCTATCATGCRTGGTTCTGGACTTGGTGTCTAGCTAGTATTGTGACTAATGTAGACATGGAAAACAGGCTTCCTCTCATGCCAGTCTCAGTTGATTGGTTGTGATGGGTTGGAGGGTGGTGTTTGCGATTCTGAAACCAAGGACAAAAATGCAGTGATTCAACTGAGTSTTGTCTGACACATGTGAGTGTGCCAAGTACTTGCTGTTCTTGCTGGAGCCACTCCTTGCTCTGGGTGTGCCATGGCCTTTTCTGATGCTGCCTGGGCTAAGCCTTTGCTCATAAAACRCAGGTTCCAGCAGGACAGCAGCCTGCCTTCTTCCTTCTGTCCCCTCTTCCATCTGTCCTGTGCTCACTGATACTTACCCTATGCCGGTGTCTGGTCTAATAGAAACAGGGGGGCTGGGGTTGTGGCTCCGTGGTAGAGCCCTTGCCTCACATGTAAGAGGCACTGGGTTTGAGCTTCAGCACCACATAAAAATAAATAAAGGTATTATATCCATCTAAAACTAAAAATATATATTAAAAAATAGAAATAGGTCACACATAGTCTGTCTCCCAAGTTGCTCATGGACTGGAGAACGCTGTGATAAGAGCCATGTGTGGAAGGACACAGGAAGCTCTGGGAGCCACCCTCTGCTGGGAAAGCCAGGACAGGCTTCAGAGATTTGTGACCTTCAGCTGGATCTGAAAGTACAAGAAGGAATTCACTGGGTGGGGAGGGGAAGGGCAGGGCATTCTAGGTGAGAATTAGCTGGGGCAAAGGCCTAGAGAAAGGAACTACCTAGCTGCCTGCAGTGGCTGCTCTGTGGCAATCATTGGGGGCTGCGGCTGGGTATTGCAAAGTGCCTGTTATGCTAGGCTAAGAAGCTTCGACTTGATCCCGAAAGCAGTAGGGAGCCATGAGAGGTTTTCAGCAGGGGAAGAGGATGTCCCATAGGCTCTGGTGCTATGGAATTCCACAGGGACTTGGTGCTCCTGTTCAGCCCAAAAACATGGCCCAGAGAGCATGCAAGAGGATCCCAAAGAGAGAAGAAGCTTTTGAGACTTGCATGTGCCTTTGAATTACCAGGGGATCTTGAAAAATGCAGATTCTGATTCAGGAAGACCAAGATAAGGCTCAAGATTCCATATTTCTAATAATCTCCGTGGTGACATTGATGCCCCTGGACCATGAACCACACTTTGAGCACAGAGAACACAAGGAATCTCTTCTTTCCCCCATATTTTAATAGTAGATGGACACAATACCTTTATTCTATTTATTTATTTTTATGTGGTGCTGAGAGTAGAACCCAGTGCCTCACACATGCTAAAGCAAGCACTCTACCACTGAGCCACAACCCCAGCCACAGAAGGAAATCTCTTGATCCTGAAGGGGGGCAGTTCCTGGGATAGCTCCTCTCATCATCAGACTCTACACAGAACACACCAGCCATCTTACTGGATTGTCAGCCAGGAACCAGATCAGCAGGGTGGAAGCTAGGAGCCTAGAGATACAGAGGGGGTTTCAAGGAAAAAAAAGGAGGTCTCCAGAAAGGATTCCTGCAGGCCAAAAAGGACACAGATCCAGCTCTCTCCACTGTTTTTTTTTTTTTTTTTAATGTCACTCATGTTTAGATTTTATCCCTCAGCTATATTTACTGTTTGTTTCTCTATTGTCCCTTACTGCTGATTTTTTTTTTTTTTTTTTTTTTTTTTTGTGGTGCTGGGAACCAAACCCAGGACCTCACACGTTCTCTCACCTAGGCAAGTGTTTTACCACTGAGCTATACTTCTAGACCTGATAAGCAGATTTTCTTTTGAACTCAGGGGCACTCAACCACTGAACCACATCCCCGGCCCTATTTGTATTTTATTTAGAGACAGGGTCTCACTGAGTTGCTTACCGCCTTGCTTTGCTGAGCCTGGCTTTGAATTTGCAGTCCTCCTGTCTCAGCCTCCCAAGCCGCTGGGATTACAGGCATGTGCCACTGCACCCCAGCCTGATCAGCAGCTTTTTAAACTACCAAGAACTTCTGAAAAAGGGACCAATTCAGTTTGTATCCTAATGTGATTCCAACCAAAAGTAAGAATGCCAATCCCCAGGTGTGGCTCCACAGAGTTGATGATCCTTTCAGGCTAAAAAGGGTCTCTATTCACACTACCCTTTTCTGGAGAACACTAATAAAGCAACACTGAGCCATGTTTCAGTAAGGTGGATGGGTAGTCAATGTCTTCCCTAGGTTAAAGTTTTGGAAATGTTGAGCATAGCTGAGGTACTGAGTTAGTTTCTCCAAGGGCCTTGAAGTGTTGGGATCACCAGGCTGGGAACTCCATTCAGATGGCGAGGTAATGCAGAGTGCCTAGACTGGAAGAAACTTTCTGAGGTGAGGCCTGTGCTGGGAACTCAATGAAATGAAACAACAAGCCATAAGCAGATGTGGAGGAAGAAACTTTCAGGAAGAGGTGATAAATTAAGTGCAAAGGTCCTGAGGCAGGACCAAACTTTACTTCTTTTCTCTTTTTGGTGACAGGGACTGAATTCAAGGCCTTATGCATGCTAAATATGTGCTGTACCACTGAGCTACATCCTTAGCCTTAGGTTTCCTCTTATGACAAAGCTGTTCCTGGGGGTTGAGGTCACAGAGTATAGGGTTAGGGAGAGAATCTGTGGATAAATTGTCCCCAAGTAGGCTGGGAGCAGGGCATCAGAAGGTGGACCACTATGAAACATCTGCCCCGTCTTCATCTGCAGGGCATCTGAGGAGGCATTCGTGAAGGAATCCAAGGAGGAGACTCCAGGCACAGAGTGGGAGAAGGTGGCCCAGCTCTGTGACTTCAACCCCAAGAGCAGCAAGCAGTGCAAAGATGTGTCCCGGCTGCGTTCGGTGCTCATGTCCTTGAAGCAGACGCCGCTGTCCCGCTAGGTGCCTGTCATAAGCATGATCACAAAGCACGGGCCACACCAGGGCAGAGGAGCAGCAGCTGCTTTGGCCAGGGTGGAAACTTCCTCTGGCAGCTGCTACACACAGCCTATTCCGTTCCTCTCCATCTCCCGGGGCTGAGAAAGGGGACCCTGACCCCTTTGGTCCCTTGCTCTCTCCTGGCCCTATGGTCCAGCCCCTCATGGCTCCTCCTCAGTCCACTCAATTGTGACTGTCCCTCTTGATTTATTTTTTTTTTCTTGCTTAAAGGGTGTGTTGTTAACTCTTTTTACACCTATTTATTATCATCCTCATTTCTCTGGAAGCCACAACTGGTGTCAGGGTTCAGTTTGTGCTTAGAACTTTTCCAGCTTCATGGCCTTGGAAGAAGGTAAAGAATACCTGAAAAGAACAACTTAAAGGAGGAAAGGTTTATTTTGGCTCACAGTTTTAGAGGTTCAGTCTATATAGGTTTAGCAGGCTCCAAGTGGGAGGAGAGGAAGGGGGGAGGGGGAGAGAAAGGGATTACGCAAAAGGAGGGAAAGAAGGAGCCGGGGAGAATGCCCCCAGTGACCTACTTCCTTCATCTAGATGCCACCCCCCAGTAGTCTATTTAGTTGTCAATGGATTAATTCACTGGTGAGGTCAAAGCCTTCATATTCCAAACATTACCTAAAAGCCCTACCTCTGAACCTTGCTGAGCTAGGGACCATGCATTCAATACATGAGCTCTTTGGGGAACATTTCCAATCCAAACCATAACACCTTGGAAGCCTAAGAGCACCTAGAAGTGGAAGCCCTAACCTGTCTGTTGCCTCCATATTTAAGAGGAAAGACAACCTCTCATAGAATGCGTTTGTAACCCTGATCCTTTCACAAACCTGTGAAGTAAGAAGGATTCTGCTGTTTTCACATGTAGATAAAGACACTAAGGCTTCCAGTGGGAAGAAACAGGGAAGACCGACATCACGTGGTGGCTTTTTCCAAGCCTGGGTAAGAGGCTGGTAAAGGCAGCCTCTGTTGGACACCTTTCCTTGGAGTTGGCTGGGACCTTCTGGATGTGAAGTGCCCATTGCTCTGCCTAATTTATCCCCTCCTCCAGCTGTACCTGCCTATGAATTAGGTATAACAACCAGCGACCACAGGAGTGGTTACTGAGCTATAACCCTAGTCCTTTTTATTTCTTGAGACAGGGTCTCCCTACGTTGCTAAGGGTCTTGCAAAGTTGTTAAACTCCTGAGTCACTGGGATTACAGGCTTGTGCCACTATACCCCCGCTTTTTAAAAAAATTGAGTATTTGCCAACAGTGTTAGTTCCCTAGGGCCACTGTAACAAAGTAGTACAAACTAGGTTACAACAACAGAAATTGTCTCCAGGTTGGGGGTGTACCCTGGCCAAGCATGTATAATGCACTGGGTTCGATCCCCAGCACCACCAAAGAAAAAATAAATTTGTTGTCTCATAGTCCTGGAGGTGAGAAGTCCAAAATCAAGTGTCACCAGGGACACCCCCTCTGAACATACTAGGGAAGAATCGGTGCCATGCCTCTCCTAGCTTCTGGTGGCTTCAGGCATTCCTGGGCTTGTAGATGCATGCTCGTTTTGCCTCCATTATCATAGGAACATCTTCACATCATCTGTCCTCTATGTGTGTCTGTCTTTGTGTCCAAAGTTTCCCTTTTTATAAGGATATCATCTTGGATTAAGGTCCACCCCTAATGACCTCACTTAAACTATTACCTCTATAAAAGTCCCTATTGCCAATAAGGTCACATTCTAATGAACTAGGAGTTAGGACTTGAACTATCTTTTTTTTGTGTGTGTGTGGTGCTGGGGATTGAACCCAGGGTTTTGTGCATGTGAGGCAAGCACTCTACTAACTGAGCTATATCCCCAGCCCTCAACTATCTTTTTTTTGGGGTGGTGGTGGGGAAACACCATAATACCAATACTTATAGTGGACATTCTTTTTTTAAAGTGCTATAGCCCTCACCATTCAATAATCCTTTTCTTGCATCTTGAGGCCAAGAGTCATTACAATACACTATTGGCTCTGATTTTTTTTTTTTTTAAAGAGACAGAGAGAGAGAGAATTTTTTAATATTTATTTTTTAGTTTTCGGCGGACACAACATCTTTGTATGTGGTGCTGAGGATCGAACCCGGGCTGCACGCATGCCAGGCGAGCGTGCTACCGCTTGAGCCACATCCCCAGCCCTTGGCTGATTTTTGATCTGCCTCAAAGACCACGGTGAAGACAAGAAATTTACCTGGCACTGATTGTACACTCCTCCACTCAAGAGATCCAGACTGTGTCAGGGCTCAATAAGGTGTGAAGTGTCTTCTTCATTTCTTTCCTCTTCTATCAGTTTAGAGATGGTACTGAAAAGATGGTCACATATGGGAAGAGTGTAGGTCCCTAAATCAACTCTTGAGAGCTGACCACAGACCAGGAATATTTGTTTGAGGCTTCCTATCCAAAGCTGAGAGAGTACTGATCAGTGAAGCCTCAGGGGTTTTCAGGTGGGAATGGAGTGTAGAGCAGATGCAGAGTGGAGGGCAGAGCTTCCTATCTGACAGGACCGTGGCAGGCCTCATCGGCAGACTAAAGTTTGAAAACTGTTGGCTAGATTTGTTTCTTCTTCCAAACAGTATCACTCTCAAGGAGAGGTGCCTGGAAATTTCTATACTCCACCCACTCCCAGCTGGGGATTGAACCCAGGAGCACTGTACTACTGAACATCACTCATTCCAAGCTTTTTAAAAATTTGATGTAACTTTCCTTTAATTGCCCAGGCTGGCCTGGAAATTGAAATCCTCTTGTCACAGTCAACTGAGCCTCGCACCACTATGCCCATAAAATCTCCCCTTTTAACAAGTGTCCCAGGTGACTGTTAACCAGGAAAGTTTGGGAAAGACCAGACGCCATGATTTTTAAGGGTCACTCCAATATTCAGTCTGATTCCTCCTAAAACCAAAGACCCCAAACTATGGTTTTGGCCATGGGAGTGAGGCTGAGAATGCATTCACTATACCACTGGTGGATTAGAGTTTATTAAGTAGGGAGGAAGGGCAACACCCAAACCACCGAATCTGGGATTTCTGGAAAAAAGAAAAAATCTTTCGTCGATCACACAATCGGCTACTTCCTCCCTAAACAACACAGGGGCCTGAGGCCTGTCGAGGAGACAGGGAATGAGTCTCTTTGGCAGGGCTGGTGGTTGCTCCTGGGATTTGGAATGATCTTCCGCGGAGCTTTCACGAGCAGGCAGTGGCATCAGGGTCGAGACTTCATAGCCGATGCAGCTAAACCCAACAAGATGGCTGCGACCGTGAAGCCTTGGGCGGCGATCCGGGTTCTCATCATGAGCTGCGAGCGCTGGCTATGGCCGCGATGGAAGCAGTAGAGGCCATAGGTGAGGGCGGCCGCCGTGCCCAGGCAGCCTGGGGAGGGGACAAAACTAGGGGAGCAGAGAGTAGGGCACCAGAGGTCCCTTCCCCAAGGACGAGACCACTAAATAACAGCAGGGAGAGAGGAAGGGGTTGGCCGAGGCGGGGTCTTCCTCGAGAGTCCCAGAGTCCGTCCCATCCCGGCCCCGCCAAACACGCACTGCTCGGGTTCCAGTTTTACCCTCACTGCCCCGCCCCTTCTCCCACGTCTCCGGTTCGATCTCATTCGGTGCCTCCTGGAGTTCCCGGTCCTCCCCAGTTTCATTCCCCCCGACATCACTGTCCTCTTGGTTTACAGTTCCTACAGTACTCACTTACCTATGGGTACCATTGGGTTTTCTCGAGTCTTGCGAAGAAACTTTTCCTTGAAGCCTTCCGGATTGCTGTAAATACTGGGGCTGAAGCCCTCAATGACTGGGGGCTTAGATGGTTCAAAGGGTGTCTCGGGAGTCACAGGACTGGGAGTTGCCATGTCTGGGGCAACACAGGTAAGGAGATACTCCGGACGTTGGACTCCGCCTCCTGATGAGGTCATGAAAGGGGCGGGGAAAACGAACATATTCGTGTAGTACGCAGGCGCAAGAACCAGTTGCATTCTGGGAGTCGTAGTAATCGATGCGGAAGCGCCAAGGGAAAGACTACATTTCCCAAAAAAGCCTGAAAAGCCCTGCGCTCCCCCGCCGGAAGGAGTCTGTTAACACGAGGTTGTAAGTGCGGGGCTTCAGGGGTGAGCTGCTGGTGAGGCGGTCAGCGCAATGCCCAAGGCTAAGGGCAAAACTCGGAGGCAGAAGTTCGGCTATAATGTCAACCGAAAGCGTCTGAATCGGAATGCTCGACGGAAGGCAGCGCCACGGATCGAGTGGTGAGGGGCTCGGGGTTTGGGGAGCAGGGGGACATTGGCAAGGATCGCCCGCGAGGTGATAGAACCGCGAACTCTCTTTTTGCCGGTAGCTCGCACATCCGACATGCCTGGGACCACGCCAAATCCGTGCGGCAGAACCTGGCGGAGATGGGGTTGGCCATGGATCCCAACAAGGCGGTTCCCCTCCGTAAGAAAAAGGTATTGACAAGGCAGCATCCCGGGCCTTGTCTCCTTTTCTTTTTTCTCCTTCCTTCCTCCTCTCCTTTCCTTGCTCCCTTTACTCATTTTTTTATCTCTTTTTTCCTTCTTCCTTCTTCCTCTGCCTTGCTGGGATTCAGAATTTGATGCTCCCTCACGCTTTTCTCCACTTGCCCACAGTTCACTTGGTTATCCTGTACTGACTGTTGTCGAGGGTCCCTTCACCACCTCTCACACACCTCCTCAGCACACGTTTGGACCTGATTTGGAGTTTATTCTTTCTTCCTGCACTCAATATTTTTCCTTGGAAATTAACCTTTTTGGGTCCCTTGGCATCTCGAAGGTTATTTTACAGAATTAACCTTTTTTTGTTCTTGACTTTCCTAATAAGGACGCCCCGGAGTTTGAGACTTTAATTTATTATTTCCTACACCTTTCCCTAGTCATCCTTGGCCTGAGGTTTCGCTAAGACTAGTTTCTCCTCTGTAAGTCTTTTTCTGGACCATGCCTTCAAACTTTCAAAAATAGCACCCTTCTTCACCCAGCATCTCTTCCCCCCTTTATTTTAATTTATAGCACTTGTAAATATATCATAGTATATGCTTATTAACTTATTTGCTTCTCTGTTTATTGTCTGTGTATCTTCCTCCTAACATAATTTCCTTGGTAACAGAATCTCTTGTGTTTTTCTCTGGTGTGCTTAGGATGTCACTTGATAACCTAAGGAATGGGCTTGCTGAATGAATTTGTCCCATGTCTTTAGGCAAATTTCTCTTTAATTCTTCATGCCAGAGGAAAATGACACTTCTGCTTCTTGAACAGTTATGAAGTTATAGCTAAGCACTGTCAGGTAGACGCTCCTCCTCCCGTTTTAAATTATAAAGTACTTTCCCTTGTGTTGTTTCAGCTCAGTTGTCATACAACCAAATGAGGAAGGCAAGGAATACTATACTCATTTTATAAACAATCATGTACATAGGCCTTTATGTGATTCTTTGGGAACTTTGGATTTTGGTTCTAGAAATCTTCAGGGCACTGGTTCTTGTTATCTAGTTCTGCTTAGTCTTGGGCACCGATTCTTAGGGATGATATAGTTGTGTTCAGGTGGTAGCATCTTTCTTTGATTCTGATCAAACTTTCCTTGATCAAAGGACCTTCCTTGTCTGCTTGTCTCACAGCCTCTGTTCTCTGCAGGTGAAGGCCATGGGCATGGACATTGACGTGGAGGAGAGGCCTAAGGAGCTTGTGCGGAAGCCCTATGTGCTAAATGGTGGGTATGGGCCTCTAATTCATGGTCCTATACTATCAGAGTTGGAAAGAGTCCTCGGATGTCCTTATTTTAAAGCTGGAGAGACCAAGGTTCAGAGAGGGAAAAGGAGATGGTCTAGGACTCTGTAAAGTTAGGACTGTGTCCTCCACTGAGACATTTTGAGTCTAATATTGACTAAACTTAAGTGTGTGAGCCAGGTGTGGTGGTGCCCACCTGTAATCCCTTTAATCCAGGAGGCTGAGTTAGAAGTATCACAAGTTTGGGGTCTGCTGGAGCAACAAGAGGGAGACCCTACCTTAAAATGAAAAAATATAAAGAGTTGGGGATGTAGTTCAGTGGTAAAGTGTTCCTGGGTTCAGTCCCCAGTACAACCAAAAAAAAAGAAAGACAAAAAAGTATGTCAGCTAAAGTCAAGAGATGTTCAGGGGGATATAGCCAGGTAAATGAGTCTGGAAAAGAAACCAGTAAGTCTCAGGCATGTATTTGGCTTCTCATGAATTTAAGGATGAACTTACTTTTGGAGATTCCACCATTTATTTTATTTAATTTTTCCAATGACAAATCAATTTCATGTGTATTAAGACTAAGGACTGTCAGGTAGTATTAAGGCTAAAGAGACTGGATTCCCCACCCCTGGCCACACTAGGGATTGAACCCTGAGCTACAGCCCCTGCCCTTTTCTAATTCATTTCATTTCATTTTAGTTTAAGACAGGGTGTCCTTAAGTTGCTCAGATTGGCCTGGAACTTGTGATTATCCTGAGTTGCTGGGATCACAGGTGTGTACCACCACACCCAGCTGGAGACTGATACTAAGTCAGGAAAACAGGAATACTCTATAAAGAGTTTTTCACCCATTGATCCTTTCCCTTAACTTCATGGGTTTTCTTATGCTTTTTTGTAATTTTTTTCAGTGGAAAGGATTGAGCCTCAGCCTGTATTCCTGTCTGTAGCTTGTCTTTGTGGTTCTCATGAGAATTAGTGGACTGTTCAATGTGGGAAAAAAAAAAATACTGCACAGGATTGTGTACCCAAAGCTACATGTATTTATTATAAAAGTTTTGTTTTTTGATTTTTTTTTAATTTTTAAAAATTTAAATTGTGGCTTTAAAATTACATAAAATTTACCATCTGGCTGGGCTTGGTGGTGCACACCTGTAAGCCCAGTGACTTGGGAGTTGAGGCAGAAGAATCAAGGCCAGCCTCAGCAACCCTAAACAACTTAGTGAGATTCTGTCTCAAAAAATAAAAAGGAGTGGGGATGTTGCTTAGTGGTAAAGCACCCCTGGGTTCAATCCCCCCAATATAAATAAATAAATACATAAATAAATTTACCATCTGAGCTGTTTTTAAGTTCACTGGTGTTATATTCAGTGTTGGGCAACAGATCTCTAGAACTTTGATTTTGCAAAACTCAAACTATACCCCTTAAACTACTCCCTGTTTCTCCCTGCTCCAGTTATGACAAACATAATTTTGACTATAAGCAATATTAGCATCTAACAACTAGATTAGATTTAACATCCTCGTTTCTATGAAGTAGCTATTTTCCTCCCTTCATAGATGAGAAATGGGATTTTTTTTGCCTAGCTTTTCTTTTATTGTTGCTAGGCAAGCACTCCCCTGCTGAGTTATATCCTCAGCCTATGCAGTTATTTATTAAAGTGAAAAAGTTGTCTCCATAGCTTAGATTTTTCCCCTTGCATAGAGAAAGGCCCTCCTAGTCCCTGCAGCTCTTGTTTTCACTTATATAGACCTTTCCATTTCCTGTGTTGGTGAAAGACACCAAGAAAAGATGGTCCTTTTTTTTTTTTTTTAAGAATTTAATCTTGGGGCTGGGGATGTGGCTGAAGCGGTAGTGCGCTCGCCTGGCATGCGTGCGGCCTGGGTTCGATCCTTAGCACCACATACAAACAAAGATGTTGTATCTGCCGAAAACTAAAAAATAAATACTTTAAAATAAATAAATAAATAAAATAATAAAATAAAATAAACAAAAATAAAGAAAAAAAAAAAGAATTTAATCTTGGGGCTAGGGATGTGGCTCAAGTGGGAGCGTGCTCGCCTAGCATGCGTGAGGCACTGGGTTCGATTCTTAGCACCACATTGAAACAAAATAAAGATATTGTGTTCACCTAAAACTAAAAAATAAATATTAAAAAAAAGAATTTAATCTTTATTTAGTTGTTTGTTTGTTTGTTGTTTTAATATGGTGCTGAGGGCCTCAGCTGTGCTAAGTAAGTGTTCTACCACTGGGAGCCCTGCTTTCTAGGAAGGCAATGTATCTTCATTTCTCTTAGTCCCAGAACCTGGTACTAAACAGGTAGTTTGGTACCTTTTAAATCCATCTTAAGTACTAGAGAGAAGTGATTTGCTTTTTAGGTAGTTGCCATACTCACAGATATTTGTGTCATAGGCAGAGTCTGGGATCCTAGGGCTAAAGAAGATTTCAGCAGTGAATTTGGGAATGGGTTGGTAAAGAAATTCTTGTGGCCTGGGATTGGGTAAGGGGGTATTGGGGGTAGCTCTAACAATGTAGAAGGCAAAGCCTCATTCTGTCTCCTGGCTTCTCTTACCCCAGATCTAGAAGCAGAAGCCAGCCTCCCAGAAAAGAAAGGAAACACCCTGTCTCGGGACCTCATTGACTATGTCCGCTACATGGTGGAGAACCATGGAGAGGACTATAAGGTGAGTGGCTCAGGATTTACAGGAAGAACTACTTGAACTGCTTGCGAAGGCATACTGGACTCTTCAGGGCCTTTTCTGCTTGCCTACTGCCTGTTTCCTGAGACTGAGTACAAAGAAAGGGAGGAAAGAGGCTCTAGGAAAGGGATCCCAAATGAACAGAATGATAACAGTAGAGATAGACAGTTGCTTGAGGTTCATATCCCATTCACAAACATGTTGTTTTGCTTCCATGGTGTTTTGTTTGTTTTGGTACTTGGGATTGAACCAAGGGCACTTAACCACTGAGCCATATCCTCAGGCCTTTTTAATTTTTTTATTTAGAGATAGGGTCTCACTAAGTTGCTGAGGCTGGCTTTGAACTTGGGTTCCTCCTGCCTCAGCCTCCTGAGCCTCTGGGATTATAGGCATGTGAGACTGCCTGGCTTTTTTTTTGGGGGGGGTACTGGGGAGTGAACTCAGGGGCACTCAACCACTGAGCCACATCCCAGCCCTATTTTGTATTTTATTTAGAGACAGGGTCTCTGCTTAGTGCTTCACCATTGTTGAGGCTGGCCTTGAACTCAGGATTCTCCTGTCTCAGTCTTCCTAGCCGCTGGGATTACAGGTGTGCGCCACCATGCCCAGCTTCGATGTTGTTTTTATTTTCCATTTATTTATTTATTTATTTTTAAATATTTTTTAGTTTTCGGTGGACACAACCTCTTTGTTTGTATGTGGTGCTGAGGATCAAACCCAGGCCGCACGCATGCCAGGCGAGCGCGCTATCGCTTGAGCCACATCCTTAGCCCTCGATGTTGTTTTTAAAGAACTGAACAACTTAAACTAGTTGCCATTTTAGGTGTGGGAGGGATAAAACCATATATATATATATATATTTTTTTTTTTTTTAGAAGAGAGAATTTTTTAATATTTATTTTTTCAGTTTTTGGTGGACACAATATCTTTATTTTTACGTGGTGCTGAGGATTGAACCCAGTGCCGCGCGCATGCCAGGCGAGTGCGTTATCTCTTGAGCCACATCCCCAACCCGATATATATTTTTGATTTTTTTTTTTTTTTAATTGAAAGAGCTGGCTATACTGGACCTCTGCGCTGGTTGTCTATGGGAAATGAACTATTTAGCTGGCTATAGTTCCTATTTGGCCCACTGAACTCTTGGTTCTGCCTGGTCCTTAAAGACATTTGTACCCATTTCCCTAGCCCCATAGTACAGAAGGGTTCCACATATACCATGGTTTTTGAGGTGAGGCATCTGGACCTCAAGGTAGGAAATGGCTTGCTCAATTCAGGCAGAGCTATTGAAGCCAGAATTAGACAAGCAGTCAGTAATAGATAGGTAAATCAAGTCAGGTTGATCAAGGAAATCAATTTTGAGTGAGTATGGGAAGTTGGAGACTGTCCCCTGAGGGACTGAAATCTTAATTCCTTCAGAGCCCTTCCACCACCCTTATCAAGAACCTGTCCCTGCTCCAACCTGTTGCTAAGGTAACCTATCCCAGGAATTGCCCCTCCCTACTGGGAGCTGTGTGTCCTGGGCTGCTCCATCCTGCCCTTCCCCCTTCAGCCCACCTTTTTCCCACCTTTTGGCCACCACACCAAGCATTCCTGGGCCTAGTCACGTAAGCAGGAAAGAGGGATAAAGGCAAAATACCTCGCTTCTTGGCATACTAGGATACCAGCTATGGCCCCCTTCTCCTGAGAGAAGTCTGTTACCCTCTTTTAAATAAACACTGCTTTATATGCTTGCCTCGGTGTGCTTCTCTAATGTTCAAACTTAAAACATGTGAGGGAGCAGAATTCATCATTGATAACCAGCGGTATCACTATGATTGAAAACTTTGCCTGTCTAGCTTTCTTCAAGTAGCCCTCCTCTCTTCTTTAGGCCATGGCTCGGGATGAGAAGAATTACTATCAAGATACCCCCAAACAAATTCGGAATAAGATCAACGTCTATAAACGTTTTTACCCAGCAGAGTGGCAAACTTTCATCGATTCTTTGCAGAAGAATAAAATGGAGGTTGAGTGACTGGTTTATACCTGTTTCAGGCTGAGGCTTTTCCGGGACCAGTGAAGCTGGAGCCAGAGTTTAAGGCAGAGAGAGAGTGTGTGGCTTTAGATGAGATTGGCTAATCCTGTGGAATCAGGTTACATTCCTCCTCCTTGGGAAAGGAACTGTCTCTGAGACTCCAATTTATATTCCTTTAGGAGCTCTCAGAAATGCCAGAACTTGTTTTCAGAGTGGGTACTTTATTTGAGTATGTCTGTACATAATAAAATAAGATAYTTTACTTTGTTGCTAGTTTTATATTTCCCAATCCCAAGTCCTGGGGCTGCCTCAGAGAAAACCAACCCTAATAGTGCAGAGATCATCTTGCCCAACAAGCATATGCCACATGCACATGCCTTACCTATAGTCTCCTTTTTTTTGAGGGGGGGCGCGTACTGGGGATCAAACCCAGGGACTTTTGCATCAAGGCTAGCATTCTACCAAACTGAGCTATGTGTCCCCAGCCTCTCCTTCCTTTTCTTGATTGCTCTCTGCCTTTGTTTCCTGTGTAGCAGTTCAGTTTACCCTCCCATAGAAGCTCACTGCTTGGAAGGGAGCCTGCCTTGCTATTCTAATCCCACCCCTGAGCCAGCTATGGCTTCTCTGCCAGAGGTTAAGGAGCCAACTCTTAGTCTGCCTGCCAAGTGATCTACCTTTCTACTTTAAACTGCTTGTTGTCTTTGGCCTGAAGTGAATCCCAGGCCTCAAACCTGCCTCTGGGACTATGGTGGACTGCTTGCTGTATACCACTCTATTGTGAGCAGTGCATTGGACTGTACATTTTGTGGTCCTCCTTGAGCCAGGCCTACCTGAATGCAGTGACATGTGAGGTAGGGCATGGGGTGGGTATTTCCTTAAGTCCTAATACTTCATTCGCAACTTAGGCCTTATTGTTAGGGTTTCTCCTAGAAGAACCCATAATGTGTCTTCACTGCTCTTCAAAGTAGGGGCTTGACTTGCGTGCTGTGGTACACTGCAGTAATCCCAGCAATTCTGGAGGCTGATGCAGAAAGATCTGAGGTTCAAGGCCATCTTCAGCAATTTAGCAAGATGCTGTCTCAAAATTTTAAAAGGGGGTGGGAGGGATATAGCTCAGGGGTAGAGTACCCCTGGGTTTAATCCCCAGGACTAAAAAAGAAAAAAGGCTTGGTGTGTTTACATTTCATTGCTTTTGAGAAACCCTGTGAGGTGCCAGCTTTTATCTTCATCTTACAGATAAAGTAAACAGGCTGGAGAGATGTTAAAGTGGGACTTGAAGTCAAATCTCCTAGGCTTTCTGCAGCCCACCCATCCCACACTATCAAGGTGGGATGGAAGAGTCCCAGAACACCCCCTTTTGGACTCAGCCTTAGATTTCATCAGTTACTGGCCATTATGAGCATTGAGAGTGGTTTTTAGGATCTTGTCTAGCAGAGCTCCTGAGGGCCTATTTGGCTTCATAACTTCCTCTGTCTATAGAATTCCAAATTCTAGCATTTGACCAGGCTATCCCCTTGCCTTGTTTTTTCATCCAGTTCAGGTGCCAACTTTAGGAAGCCTTCCCTACCACTAGCCCTTGCCCCTAGGCTGGGTGTACCCTGTAGTTGCCACCCCCAGACTTCGTATAACAATACATGTTTATTTTTTTGTGCTAGGGATCAAAACCAGGGCCTAAGCACCTGAGTCCATATCTACCTATTTTTCTTTTTTGTTTTGGTACTGGGGATTGAACCCAGGGGTCCTTTACCATTGAGCTATATCCCCAGTCCTTTTATTTTTTTGAGAGGGGTCTCACTAAGTTGCCAAGGCTTACCTTTAACTTGTGATCCAACTGCCTCATGCTCCCAAATTGATGGGATTACAAGCATGTGCCACTAAGCCCAGCAATCATTTTTCTTTACTTGGCATCCCTTGCTAGATAAGCTTGAGGGCAGGGATCTTGCCTGGGAATCCATAGGGTGGGCCAAGGCAGATGCTGGCGAGAATGCTCTTGTGGAATCTCATGTCTGCGTAGCTCTGTGGTCTTCCTTCTGACCCTGAGTGTGGAGGCCATTAGAACACTTCTTGCTGCCATTTCCACCCTTTAACTCTGGTTAAAACCCCTCAGATCTCTCCCCAAAGGCAATGAGTTAGGCCAAAGCTGATGTTCTTACCTACCTGCTCCCTACCCCCACGGGCGTTACTGTCCCACACAGGGTACTAGGAAGTATTCTGGGCCCACCCTCCACAGCTGCCCTTCATTGGGACTGTAAGCACTCAGCACATACTACTCAAAGTAAGAATTCAAATGAACTGCATCAGAGTTTTGGCTTTTTTTTTTTTTTTTTTTAACTCAAATAGCTGCTAAAATTCCAGTATACACAGTTTTTCCTTGATAGCCCTTTGCATATGGGTTTGTGGGGCACAGGCCAAAATAGCAAGGCCCCTCTACTTCCAAATCTTTTGACAGAAATCCCCACCTTGTCCCTTGGTGGGCCCATTTTCCAGAGGTAACAGATGAGGAAAAGTTGAAATCCCCATTTCATAGCTACTAAGAAGAACTTAGTGTTCAAAATTACCACCTCTGAGGCTGTGTGAGGGGAGGACAGTCTGTTCAGAATACCTCAGACCCAAGGTCTGGGACAGTTGTTACATGAGAAGAGACACCTAACATGGTCCTGCTGCTACTGCTAGTTCAAATGCTGGCTATTCTAAACCAGCGTAAGAATAATGAATTGTTTTTTTAGAGGTAAGTGGAAATATTTTTTGGAGAATACGTTTCATTCAGGCTGGGAGACAAGTGTCAGATTTCCATCAGCACCCTCCCCACAGAAGACCATGAGGCTGTGATGGACTGACTTTTCCTCCCTGTCCTCACAGCCAGGTATCAAGTTATCAGCACAATCTTAAAACCTATAGTTCCGGGCACCAAGAGTTTCTGGACATAGCCTCTTGGAATGGGAAGCTAGTCCCAGGAACCTCAAGAACCCTCTCATCCTGACCATACAAATGTCCCTGATATGGGCCAATGTGGCCTCTCTAGAAAGTATGGCCACAGGTCACAAAATGGAAAACCAAGAGGCCATAGTTCTGTTTAAATAGCTTAAGAACAAAGGCCCTGGGTGGGGCCTTTGTTCTTAAGCTATTTAAACAGAACTATGGCCTCTTGGTAAAACATTTGCCTAGCATGTATAAAGCCCTAGATTTGATCCCTAACACCTCCCAAAACAACCCAGGCTGCTAAGGCCAGGTGAATGATCCTGGCACAGGTGCAACAGGTGAGTAGATCCCAGAGACATCTCTTCATTCTGGTTTGTATCTTCCCTCGGGCTGACCTTGTTAGAATGTGAGTGCATCCCAGACATTTAATTTGGTGTTTCTAAGCTCATCTAAGTTGGCAACTGTGGGGCTGGGACACTGGGAGGAATACAGTGTCACCCAGGCTAGACTGGGGGACATACTTTGAGATGTGAAGCTGTAGGTAACTGGCTGATTTGCAAGAGCCAGATGTTCTCAGCTCCTGGGTCCCAGAAAGTACTATTCAGAAGTAGCTGAGTGCCAGGTATGGTGGTATACACTGTAATTACAGCAACGTGGGAGCTGAGGCAGGAGGATTTTGAGACCAGCCTGGGCAATTTAGAGAGACCCTGTCTCAAAACAAAAAATAAAAAAGGGCTAGGGATGTAGCTCAGTGGTAGAGTGCCCCTGGGTTCAATCCCCAGCAACTAGGTAAAAGCACCACAGGAGTCCTGCATGGTGGCACATACCTAAAAATCCCAGTGATTCAGGAGGCTGAGGCAAAAGGATTGCACGTTTGAGACCAGCCTCAGCACCTTGTCTCAAAAATAAAAAGGACTGGGTTATAGGTTAGTGGTAAAGACCTCTCGGTTCAATCCCTAGTTACCCCCCCCCCCCAAAAAAAAAAAAAAACCCCAAACACAACAACAAAAAATCTCCACAAGGCCAGGCAGGGAGGGAAAAGAATGTGCTAGCAGCTCCACCATGTGAGTGTACCAGCACCCAAAGGCCACTGGAATTCCTATATGCTGTATAAGGATGGGGTGGTGATGCTACTCTAGCTCCTTAATGTGCCACTGACGCCTGAGGTTCTGAGAATGGTCTTTATAAAAGCAGCTCAAGTAGATATATATATAGTAGAATTGTTTATTCTTCAAGTTCATCTCCCCTTATTGAGGACTTTAAAAATTGTACTACATGATATTCATTAGACAAAGGCAGATCTTAATTAGGAAAAAAAGTATCCCTCTCAACAATCAATGCTGGTTCCGAAGGCAACCTTTAAGCCCTGGAGAACAAGGTGAAGTTTATAGAACAAAGACATAGTTTCTCACCCTTCCAATGACAAGATGAAAAACTGCTAGCAAAATTTCAAAGGCTACTCTAAAACCCAAGTCATTCCTTAAATATCTAATACAAAAGCAGAAAAATCCCTTCTTACCGTGGAAGATGATTTGGCATATCAACGAACAGTGATTCCATTCTGTTATTTCCACAGTCCAAGGGCACAGTGGGCCACATTCTCATAAATCACACTTATTTCAGGACTTAAAAGCTTCCCACACACTGCCCCTCCACAGTGCCCTTCCTGACCACATTATTGTACTGAAGCATGCTGGTACATGTCAAATGAAACAAAGGCACACACTCTGTTCTCAATTAGAAAGCAAATTGAGTGGGATATCACCTTAAAAAAATAAGTCCGTTTGCAGTTGTTGATTATTCAGTGGCCCCTGACAGACAACAGGCTCCTTCTTTTGCCTGTTCAAACAAGAACTATTGATGTGGAGACAGTCCTTAAATTGGCTGATCACTGTTCACAGAATCATGGAATGTGCACTGGAGATAATTCCAGAATTTCAGTCCAACTTTGCTTTTGTTGGGGAGTAAATGATCCAGGAAGGCTGAGTGATATGCCCAAGGCCACCTTGTTGGCTGGTCTGCTATTCCTGTCCTATAGATTCACATGATGAATTTTTTTTTTTTCATCTTTTTACCTGGATTTACAGAAATTTCCTCTCCCAGAGTCACTTTTATCTATCCAGAAAGGGTTTGTGTTCCTTCAACATACTGAGCCAAGGGGATGAGTTTAAGTTCATGTGAATCAATGTAAAATATGATATCAATTACAATATCAAAGGCAGGAGGAGGTGTGGCTACAGCTTTGTCTCCATTGTCATCTGTAGGTTATTTCAATATCATCATGATTCCAGCTATTTTCCTCAATATTCCAAATTT